ATACCTATAATACGAAAGGTCGTATGCTGTATGCAACTATGCTGTTCGTAGTTTTTCAATCATCCTGGTACTAATAATACTTTGGCATTATCATCATCACACAAAACCTGATGTAACTCTCAGAGTATGGGATTATATGGTTTTGAACTACTTGAATGTAGGTGCTCTCCCTTATATTGTATTATACATTAATACTGACAGGTAGAATCCTAGGGTGATGGATTATTTGGTTCAATTTAGTGCTCAAAAATATGAGCGAGGTGGCCTGAAGCCGTGCTGGCTTGATAGCTCCTGGATGTTAAGTCATCACCAAAAATTACTTCTTTTCTCAAAAATAATTGCTGATTTCTGTGAACAGAAAGAAAAATACATCATTAATCGTAATGTTACCAAGAAAAAATTATAAATTTAAGTCTTTTTTATACTATTTTATAATTCACTTGTAAATGCTTTTTTTTCACGCTATAAATTAAACTTACAATATGCCTGATTTAAGACTATTCAATATTTGTTAGAATCACGTTAACTTACAATCATTTTTGCTTCACATATCTTACAGTCAGCACGTAAAAAAAAAAAATAATAATTTTGAAATAGTCTGCAAGAATACACAGGACCAAAAAAAAAAAAAATTAATTAATTAGTTAATTAATTACACAAGAATAATGTGGCATGTACTGTTTTTCATCACTTAATACGTATCTGAAGCCCAAATTAGACCCTTTATAGGTCATCTGTTCTTGGAAATATCCTTTTTTTTATTATCTACTATATTAAAAATTCACACTAAATTTCAAATTCTTCGTTTCGATGTCTGATTTTTATCTTGATCAAGTATTATGTCTTCAGTGATGAATCTGTATTTATGAGTTATTGCCCACGAGTCTGCCGTATATTTATTATCTTCAAAAGTTGTTTAGAATACGTTGAAAAAATAATCATAGTATATCTTCCATTCGATCTTGAAATAACAAAGCGTAAGTCAATTTTCAATAACAAGTTTTATTAGCTATCTAAGGGTATATACACGTCGATTTGCTTTTATGGTCACGGAATTGAAACTTGTAATATCTATTTCAGTCTTGTGTTGTCATACCATTAAAATACAACAAACAGTCAAAAACTTTTCATAACCACTAAAGATTATCCTGTTACCGATTAAGATTTGATAGATCACATTTAAATTTAAATAATGGTTACATCAATTTAAAGGCACTGGTAGACTAAGCCATTAACGTAAGAAATATAATATTGTAATGGCATGATACGACACTACAAACAATTGACAATTGAAACTGATCGACAAGACTGATAAAACCGTTAACATAGTGTTTCTTGAAGTTTGTGAAAAATTATTGAATTCAACATTAATCTATTTAAATGTAGAAGTCAATAGTTTAAATTTTGAATTTGTAAAAAACATTAAGAACACTTACAGTAAGTAGTAAGTCTAGTAAGTCTAGTAACGTAAAATAAAACTTGTAAAAAGTACTTATGCAACATAATAAGAGCAATGACAATAATCTTAGCAATAACGACGATGAAAATAATAGTTATCATAAGAATCATGGTTTGCCGTCACATTTAAACACATCGCAAAACATTACGTTTACCTTATACGTACACAACACTAACAATTAAGAAAATTTACATCATTTTTTGCACACTAATTAATTATTACTTGAGTTAATTAAATCTTACAGAGTAAAGCTCAATTAACTATTTAATGATTCACAGCTCACAACATATACGTGTAGTAATTCAATGAGAACAAGAATACTTTACAATAAACTTTACTACATTAGAAGTCGCTAATAAGTAACTAATGAATTTAATATTTCTAAAGTTAACAGATAAATATTTATATTTATGTGTGTGTGAGTGTATGTATTTGTTTAGCTTTTTAGGTATTTTTTATTTTCCAAAAAATATTCGCTGTGTATTAAATTTTTCCAAATTTAACAATTTCTCGACTACTTTTTAATTTGTAAGTTTTTTAAAGAGTAAATTTCGACCTTAAATAAGATTTTTAAGGTAGCTCAGGACCCTTAGTTGCTCTAAACTTTGTTATTAACAAATATTATCACATTTTACAGTAATTATTTCTATCAAACATAAGCATGCAAACGTTTGTAAAAGAATTCAAAAATTAATATTTTAAATCAGTAAAAATAGTAAAAGTCTCGGGGGATACAGCCCGTATGAAAAAAACTAATTTCTGCGAAAAAAAAAAAAATATAGAATCCAATACGTAACCTATTTTTGCTGTTACGTTATACAAAGTAGGAAAAAAGAAAATAATTTCGTCACCATTCATGACCTTTTACGATGTACTTAAACTTGTATACTAGTGCACCAAATTTAAGGTGCAACAAGTTGAAAATAATTAAAATCAAATAATAACAGTGAAGTGAAAAAAAGATAAAAATAATAACAACAATAATTGTGGACATAAATAAACAGCAATTAATGCGAATTGGCAAACGCAAGCTGGTAGTATTTATAAAGTTCTCTTTTAAAACAGGGACACTGGTGTGAGCCACTTATAGCAACTGGTCAGCCATTCTGCGTATTAGCACTGTCAACGAAGAAAGAATCATGCCAAATTTTAAGGGCAGTAGATGGGATAAGTTGATCAAGATGGGGTGCCTTTTGAGTACCAGGTCCATCATGAGGTCTAAGTTTAAATCTGCACAATACATACTGTGGCTAACACTGCGCAAGATTGAAGCAAGATTGAAGCAATTGAAATAAGTAGGAGTACACTCAAAAGTATGTTTAATATATTAATATTAAGATAATAGTATGTACAAATTTCCTTAAATATGCAGAACATAAAGATAGAGATACGACTTTCACGAACTTCGTGGATCACCCACAGTAGTGTCTGAAAAACTCTTGACAACATACGTCACGAATACTATTAAGAAAGACTAAAGAATAATATTTAAAGATGTATTAAGCTATACCTAGAATGCGTTAACAAATACGCCTGGTATTGTATTTGAGAAGGTTGCACTCGATATCGTCAGATGCCTACATCAAACTAAAAAANACTTAAAGAATAAAGTACAAAAAAAAAAAAAAAAAAATTTGATATACGTTTAAAACAGCAGCCTCTTTAAAGTACTTTTTTTACGCGCATCCGCTCTATTCGTAGACGAAAAAGCGGAAGGGCAAAAAAGCCTCAAAAAAGGCCATTCACTTCGCTACGTCGTGAAGAGAAAAATCTTCAGGTTCTTCGGATGTTGTCGAAAGTGAAGTTCTTCGATAACTTTCGTGGACAACCTGATGCAGGTGTTCTCGCGACAATCGCTCAGCCGATCGATGGCGATGTGAATTAGACGAGTGCGAGATCAAACTCTTCGAGTTGACGAATTGCTGATACTGTCTCTCTTCCAGGGTCCTCTTCTTGCAGGACTTGAGGTGACGCTCGAGGTTGCTCAGCTGGTCGGTGACGTAACGCAAGCACCTCTCGCAGACGTAGGGCTTGACGGTGCCGCACCTGGACTTCTGGTGTCGTACGAGGCTGCTCTTCTGTTGGTAGCTTTTTCCGCAGTCCGGACATTTTAGGTCCACGTCCGACCGGCCGTCAAAGTGCTCCATGAGGGAGTAGCCTACAAAAAGACGAAAAAGAAGAACGAGCCCAGCGTTAGTCGAAGCTTGCATTGGCGAGAGATTTCGGTTGTCTACGGGAGGATTTTGCAGTTGCATTGGTTTGGACGATTACAGTTTTTTTTTTATTTTATTTTTTTTTTTGCGTGAGGAGTCATGATGTGACGATCTTCGCTTGTAGATTGTAAAGAGTGGACGTCGAAATAGAAATATTCATACGTGGTCAAAAATGTAATTTTCAAACAATTAATTTATTGATGATTTTTTTTGTGAAATGTTTTATGAAAATCGACAAATATCACGTACACAAGCTCAAAATGATTAAAAATTTGATTAATTATTTTTTTCGGTGTATATCTTCAGTTGTAGACGTGTTCTCCCACATAGTTTCTTGAGAAATTTTTCCATTGTATCATCTTGATATAATCTTCGTACGTTGAATTTGTATGATACAATTATATATTATCACCGTCTAAAAAATAAATTAATTTATGTAATGAAATGTCTTGAAAATCGTTATTATTTTTTAATTTTTGTCAGCGAAATAAAAGTAATGTGGAAAAATCGTAAGGACAAAAAGATGGATGCACATGACATATTTTTTTCAAACACAACGCTAACTGATGAGAAATCTTCATGATTTTAGTATCTTCAATGATGAACTCTTCAATGTTGAGTTCTTCAAACTGTTGACTCGATACATCTTCAGGGGATGGAATGAAGGTAAAAATGGTGAGTGCTTACAAATATTTCTTTATTAAAAATAATTTACTCATAAATCTGTACATGATATAAAAGATAAATGATAATCAAATAATTAAAAATCAAGAACTTCAATTATTTTCGAAATACGCTGAACATAAAAGTAAACTTCATTGATCTAACGTTGCAGAAGCTGATAGATATGCTACACTAGAGATAAATTTATCAAGTAAGGCCTAATTACTACGATTACATTACAAATGTAACTTTATACATCACAATTAGTTTGGAAACAGATCATTAAACATTTTTCGCTGCCCAATAAAAACATATTTAAAAAAATCCAATCGCACATAATCATCGAAAACTATTATAATAAAAGATTATTCGTTTATTGATTCTTGTGTTTTTTACTTTAAAAGTGCACGTGAAATCAAGTTAAAATGGGAAAACTAAGTTTATCTAAAGTGTAAAGATTTTTCATGACAATCTTGAGTTTGTACTCCACCTATTTTTTTCTTCATTTTTTCGATAGAAGAATTTTAAACTTAATGCAGATAACCCACTTTAAAAACTTTTCGACAAGTTGCTAAATAACACACTTATAATCACATAAACAAAACGTATAATAAAATCAATTATGCATCAATAAAACGTTGCTTTTTCAACATCTTCGTATAATAATAATAAATCTAGGTGTTCTTCTTACGTTGTACAACGATAAAAAAGTGATAAACGTAACGATTTAAGCGTTAATCATCAAATTCGTCGTATATCTTTTTTTAGACTTTGAAAAATACTAATTTTTGAGGATTATTACGTATTTGTTTAAAAAAAACTCCTCGTTAAGAAAAACGTCGTATCCTCATTTGAAATTAAAATTAAACTACCTTATAAGTAAAATCTCACTAAATATAAATATTTGAGAAATTTTCTCTTTTTGCATTACACGCGTACCGCATGCAAATTTAGTTTTACATCACTGCTAGAAAATTATTCAGTGATAATATTATGATATTTATTTTAAAAAGTAGTCCGTAGAAGGATTATTATTTTTTACTATTTTACTAGTAAGGATAAAGAAAATTTGTCAAACTGGCATTGAGGATAAACAAGAACCGTCAGGCTTACATTTGAAGAAAGAAAGCCTGTAAAAAAAATTTGGAGATAGAAACAAGAGATAGAGCAGAAATGTATTTGCAAAAAAATGCTCAAATCAAGAATTATAGGTGACCAAATTTTTTTTTTTTTTTTTCATGAAAAAATGAAGAGAATTAAAAACAGAACTACTTTAAAATGAGATAAGAGCATAAAAAGATGTAAAATGACCTTATGGAAAACGTTTATGTAAAAAACGTAATAAGATTAAGGGTATTGTTACAGGAAAAATCTTGAAATTTATAACGAAAATGTTGACGCATGGTATGCCGAGTAAGGGAATCCAAATGTAAAAATATTGTAAATCTGTATACATGGAAAATAAATACTATACTGCACTATACTGTACTATTTCATTTTTCTCTATTGTTATAGGGCTTTGATATTATATTCATTTGAACGCAAATCGATATAAATACTTGATTAATGATTAAAAAAAAAAAAAAAAAAAAAAGAATGTATTTAAATACCTTACATCAACTATTTATGATTCAATAAAATCTATTACTTGTCAAAATAATATTGTATAGTATTATGAATTCAATAAAAATTAAGTATTACGTTATTATTGCAAGGTAGTTTAAATTATTAACCACTTACGTATCCATCGCAAATGAAATTGCTAGTTAATGCAAACAGACATGTACTAAAAATATAAGTCCTAAATATCTCATTGCTTGAGCAAAAAGATGGAAAATTCGTAATAATAAGGATTTCTTCGATTGAAGTAGTCTCCAACTTTTTACTTAGACACGAAGATAAACGACAGCAGCAACAAGAAAAGTGGATTTTACATACGATATACGGCCGCCTCACTCTGCTTTGGATGAAATCCAACCTCTATACTCACTTTAAATCCTTGAAATCCTGCTTGAAGCTGTGAAGCGACTTCGAACCACAGCGATAGATGCGAACGTCAATGTCGTGTTGGTCGCGCATGTGGCGCCTGTAGCTGCTGCGCTGTTTGATCCTTGTCTGGCAGAGGGTGCATTCATATTGGGGCAATTTGTTGCACTCCTGGAACAAAAATAAATATTGCCGTCTAATAGGATTTCGTTCTTACGTTAAAATATTTCATACTGCAGAATCTGAAAGATAATTAATTGGAGAGATATCCATTTGTATTTACTTATAAAAACAATCACTTGATGTGTTGTGCAAGCTAAGTAAATAATGGTAGTTTTCCTACGAGTTTGAAAAGTCTCTGTTTGCGAACCGAGGCGTTTGCGGCCCGAGCCGAAGGCGAGGGACGTAACGAGGTTCGTAAAGGAGACTTTTCGAACGAGTTCCGGAAAACTGATTTTTCGCCCGAGGAAGTACCAGCCTCCCAAAACCACCCGAGGGCGGAAAAAAAAATTTTAAATCAATACCTCGCGCAAATGGCGCTGAAGCGAGTTCAGCCAGTTGTAAGTCTTTTCGTTGCAACGCGGACATGGGTATACCTCGCCGCTCAAGTTCCCGGTGGTGCTGGTGGTGGTGGTGGTGGTGCTACTACCTGTAGCAGCAGATCCGCGGTTAAGCCACTTTTTAGACATGTTTGTCGCGACGCTCATCGATTGTCCTGATCAAAACAAACAAGAAGACGATTGCTGATTGAATGTACATGTAATTGAGGGTAATATGGGTAATTTTGTTTGTTGCCGTGGATTTTTTTGGCCCTTACGTGTCCCAATTCTCATTGGTTTTTTGTTTTGGCCATATTTTTTTTTTTTTTTTTTTTGCGTACAAAATTTTCAGTTGCACTAAGCCAAGTACTTTTAGTATTAGCTTGACAAAGATGAGAGTCTAAATAATTACAGGAAGATGTGCTACGTACATTTAGTAGATTTGGTAAAATAGTGCGATGTTACTTTGCAATTTTTTTTCGCAAAAATAATCTTTAGACCGATTGTGATGCGTGCGTGTAAAAAATATTTTTTTTTTATAATTTAGTTGTTTCATCAGGACACCAGGCTTTTTTTTTATTTTTTAAAATCTACTGATCTAATTTATCTACATGTGATAATTTTATGTTTGATTAATAAAAAATTGGCTGTGCACACGTATTATATTCATCTATCATACTTGTACAGCTAGATACACTTTATCGTCAACTCATCATTTAAATAATGTATCAGCACAAAATATAATATTCATAGACATAATTATATAGATTTGAAGTGCCATGGGTGTAAAAAAAAAAGAATATTTGTGAGGTCAGAGTAAAATATTCAAGTTTTTACCACCACCGTACAGTTTTTTATTACAGCACACACCATTTTATTATTACCTATGGAACTGCAATAGTTACTTAGATGGTCATTACAGTATGAAAAAATGTATGTATAAACATTAAAAATACCACACAAAACACATGATGGTATGTATTTTTTAGTATTACTTATTAGTTAATTTATGAAGTAGTAGTACATNTTTGCATTGTTTTCGGTGTGGAAAATACCTATTATACACGTTATATTAAAAGAAAAAAAAAACTATTAAATTAGAACTATGAAAAAACAGTATTATAGCAAGTTATAAACTTTATTTTTTTTACATTTTTTGTAAAAATAAAATAAAAAGTTAAACATGGCACATTCTCATTCGTTGATGACCGAATAGTTCAATTCATCCTTCAATCGTAAATAGAATTATACCGGAAATATAGCGAGATGGTCGTGGATCTTTATTTAAGAATTATTTAATAAAAAATATTTAAAATCATCCAGGGGGGGGATCCTTAAAGAGCGCTGGATCTTGGAAATAAAATAACTTATTATTTTGTTTAATGCACTTTATCACAGTGTTACACACATAAATTAAGTTATAGAAAGGCGTTTAGGAAGAGTTTCTGGTAATAGTCGTAACAAATGATTCTCGCTTAATTAGCAAAATCGCAGGACCGCTTGCTGCGATGATGCCTGTGCAAATGGTAAGCTCGCTTGAAACGTCGACCGCACAGTTGGCAAATGAAACGCGGTGGTACCTTACATTCTTTACACTCCTCGCGCAAGTGTCGTAGCAATGAAGTCCGCCACGAGTACGATTTGTTGCACTTGTCGCAACGAAACAAACCCTGATCATGCCGTTGCGCTGTTTCATCTTCGTAGTCTACAAAAGATAATTTTTTATACGTGCGACAGTATTTCAAAATAAATTATTCACCATTAAATTTAACAGCTAAAAAAATAAATTTTTTTTTTTTTTTTTTTTTTTTTTTTTT